TACAATACAATTCCCCACAAACAACGCTATCCAATTACCACTTGATAGACCGCCTCTATACGTTTAAGGTATCACACCTCAGAATAACATTATAAAACAAAGTTAACTTAAAAGAATAAATTAGAAATAAAATTTAAGAAAAACTTTTCATATCAGATAAGAAAGATGTATCGATTGTAACATTTTTAGTACTTACTTCAAAAAAGAAATGGAATATGTACTCGTATATATGGTAAAAAGCTAAAAAGTCTATATAAAGTGGGAAAGATTCATAGTTTTATTATATGTATATAGTAAAGGTGTTTTTCATGAACAACATTATATTTAATACTAACATACATTTTATATTGAGATGACATGAAGTAGTATGGAAAGTAAAATCAGTACCTATTTTATAGAATCAATAATTTAGTATGTTGCGAAGTATGTTTTAACTCCTACACATGTCCTCATAGTATTGTAATTAGTCGGTACATAGATATTTTTAAGTTTTTCTAGATACAAAAATGATATAATAATTAACATTCTTGTCTCTTGAGTAGTTCCTCTTCAACCTTATCTAATATTATATAAGCAATAAGTTTTTATATTTTGTTACAAATCCGTTCAGAAAGTATATACTCCCCAGACCTCTGGAACGACGTTCATTAATTGATTTGACTCTATCGAGGTTATTCTCGTGTTTATCTTCAACTTTATAATAATATGGCTTAGCTTTTATACAAACATGTACTCATGGTTATTAATGAACCAGAAAATAGGTTCCACAGACATTGAAAACATTTCTTAAAATAAAAAACTATATTTCTATCGGTAATACAATTAGTGAGTCGGTTGAATCCTCAGGCAAACAATACTTTTAACTATTACATTGTTTCACTGTAGCGTGACCATATAATAAGCAAAAGGAATTCATTTAACACCTTTGTTAATACAACCATTGCAACCTTTAACTGCTCCCTCGGGAACTGAGAACTTGTTACTGAACATCACGAACGAACCGTGGTCTGTTATTAAAGAGACTATGAAAAAGTAAAAATAAACAGAGTAATAATTCTCACGTGTTATATACACGTTCTTGTTATTTTATAAAAATGTCTTAGAATTTATTTTGTAAATTTTTTACACACGCTTATATTTTTTTTAGGACTAGATTTTTATTACAATTTTCTCAGCTCGTTTATGAAAAATAAATATATTTAACAAAATTGTTAAAATTTCAATAAACGTTGTGTATTTTTAACGAATTTAAGTATTATTTCAATGAAGATGTTTAAGAATTATACGGGTGTATTAAATTTGATATTTTTGTGAATCTTTCTTTGCCGTGGGTTTATAAATTAAAATAGTTAAACCAGAATCTCCCGAGTTTGTATTAAATTTACAAGTTTGACAATTACAATGTATTATTTTTTTTATATTGTGATTTAAACCAATTTTTTTAATATTTGCAAGCATTAACAACATTGAAAGGAACAACGAAAAGTTATAAAATCAAAAATATTATATTCCAAATGAATTTGAAGAGAAAAATGAGCCAACACCCCGCATTCCTATTGAACGGATCTAAAAGGTTAAAACCAAACCTTAAAGGAAATGTGTAAAATAAATGACCGAATTTGTCTTGAAAAGCTTTTCAAATACATTTGTTCGCAGTAATCTGCACAACTTACGTCGACTTGTGCTGCTGTTGATTTTGAGATACCTATTCTTATACTTAAGGTGTTTTCTACTTAGATTTATCCGGATGAAATCCTCCCATTTACTGCACTCATATAACATTTTATAGAACAAAATTCTATTACAAGATTTGATAAGAACAAACTTCAAACATTACAATTAAAACGGAGATTTATAAAATCTCATTGACATCTCATTAAATGTAACAACCATACAGCTGCATCTGTAATTTTATTTCATATCTTTATATATATAATTCTTCTGTGAGTGTGTATGTCACTGAACTTCTCTCAAACGACTGGACCGATTTTGATGAAATTTTTTGTGTGTGTTCAATGAGATCTGAGAATTGTTTAGATTCACAATTTTGTGCGCTGGACAATGTTTTTTCAATTAATTTTTAATTTATTAGTAGTTGTTGATACAACCTTTTTTTTTTAGACATTCGATTTGACAACTAACTAATATGTCAATCATTCTGTCGCACTTCAAAACAAGGAGATTTATGGCTTAAAGGTAAACTCTAAAAATATGTATAAATAAAAAAACGTAACAGATATTTTTTGATTATAGGGTGTTGAGTCATCCAGAGAGGGACGGAGCAATCACTGCCCGAGCGAGAGAGGTGGCACCGCGGCGGCCAACGCCCGTGCCATTAGTGAGCTGCGACATCGCTCGACGCGCACACGCGTACCTGTCTTATATGGAACAATATACAACATTTATACAGTCCACCGCCTTTTAATTGTCTCCAACGAGCTACCGATCCCGTCATTGGTCCTTCGAGCCGGATCATTTCGAGCCGAGCCACTTCGAGCCATCATTGATCCTTCGAGCCATCGTTGGTGTTTACGTCATTGGTATTTCGAGCCGGACAACGAGAACAAAGAACATCGGAAATTGGTTTGACACCGTGTACAGAAGATTGATATAGTACAATATTCTACACGCAGCAGTCATCAGAGGATTACAAAGAAAACCCGTGAGATTGTTCCATTTTCCTTTATTTCATTCCATTTTCATAATCATCCATTTCATTCCCACAATCATTTTCATATCTTCAATCCATTTACATTACATTCCTGCTTATTTAGTTGTTTTCATTAGAATTAATCGTTTTCATTAGTATATGCAATCATTTCTTGCTTATTTTTACGTAGTGTTTGCATTGCATAAATTACATAACATGACTAAGCACTTTTGATTGACACGCCCTACGCTTGACATTGCTCATTTTACTGCTAAGCTTCGCTTCACAGGATAGTGAATTGCTGAATAGGCTTTCTAAGCTTTGCTTATTTTTTATTTTGCTTTTTTGCTCACATTTAAAAAGATGTCTGATTTTAAAAGCTTAATCAAGAAGCGTGCATCAATTAAGGCTAAGCTTACTCAGTTTGCATCTTATATCAATCTTTCAAAATCTTGTGAAAAGTTAAGTGAATTGCAAGTCATTGAAATTGAATATAGACTTAATATTTTCGAAGGCTTATACGAAAAATACGACACGTTACAAAATGACTTGGAAACGTTGGCGGACGTTCCTGACGAACAATATACGGAGCGTGAGGAATTCGAAAATCAGTTCTACAACTTGGTGGCCTCTGCGCGCCAGCTGATAAGCAGTTCTCGACAACTTCTCAAGGCCGATGCCAACTCCGAGGTGGGTTCTTGTGCTAATAACACACACACACACACACAGCTCAGTGCGTTTACCTAAGATTGATTTGCCAAAATTTTCCGGTATCTATCATGATTGGTTGGAATTTAGAGATACTTTTATTTCCATAATTCATAATAATAATAACATTGATAAAATAAATAAGTTACACTATCTTCGAGCTTCATTAAAGGGTAGTGCATTGTTAGTTATAGACAATTTAGATTTTAAATCAGATAACTACGACGCTGCCTGGCGGTTACTCTGTGAGAGGTATGACAATAAAAGATTACTTGTCAACAACCATGTGCAAGCACTCTTTAATGTGAACGCAATCAGCAGAGAGTCCAGTAAGTGTTTACGTCATATTATCGACACAACAAATAAAAATTTGAGAGCCCTTTCAACGCTCGATCAACCTGTTCAGTACTGGGACACACTGGTTATACACATTATGGCATCCAAGTTAGACCAAGTGACGAGTCGTGAGTGGGAAGAGCACAGAAATACCCTGTCTGAGCCTCCTACACTTTCAACATTTATTTCATTTTTAAGTAACAGAGCTGACTTACTAGAGACACTAGAGGAGTCAAATTCATTAAAATCAAAAAGCGAATTTAAGAATAACTTTGTTAATAAATCTAAAAGTTTCATAATAAATTGTGAAAACAAAAATATATCATGTCCTCTATGTCATCAAAATCATTTTATTTTTGCATGTGAAAATTTTAAAAACTTATCTATACAGTCACGCATTTAAAAGGCTCACGAAGTCAAAGTATGTCTTAATTGTCTTCGTCCAGGTCATATTGCCTCTAAGTGCAAATTAGGACATTGCAAATATTGTCGTGAAAAACATAACTCTTTACTTCATATAGAGAATAGTGCAATTTCCCACAACACACCAAACATTTCTCTTTCTGTTAATAACTCATCTAATTCATCCGTTGTTCTCCTTTCCACAGCTCTCGTGAAGGTGGTGGACGCCAAGGGCAACCTCCATACTGCGAGGGTCTTACTGGATAATGGAAGCACGGTTAATTTCATTTCCGATAACTTAATTCGTAAGCTTCATATTTCTACTTATAAAAATCCTTCTAAGGTTATTGGTATTAATCAACAAACATCTGATTGTTCGCAAGCTTGTTCAATTTCCATTCAATCTTTTAAGAGAGATTTTACAATTGAAATTAGTTGTCTAGTTCTCTCGAAAATTTCATCTTCAATTCCTAACACATATATCGACGTAAGTACTATACCTATACCTACGAACATTCGTCTTGCCGACCCTGACTACAATATTCCGTCGTCAATTGACATTCTTTGTGGCGCGGAAGTCTTTTGGAACATAATAGGCGCGAATCGTATTGCATTAGGTAAAAATTTGCCCACTTTGATAGAGTCAAAATTTGGTTGGCTCGTTTCGGGTTCAGTCGCTCATCGTAATTCGTCTTCTGAGTTATGTATGCTTGTTGATCATATGCAACCCGACTTAAGCCGGTTTTGGGAGTTAGATTCTGTATCTATTAAACATAACTTAACTTCTGAAGAACGATCATGCGAACAATTATTTAAAGATACTACATATCGTAATCCAGATGGACGTTTTGTCGTAAGGATTCCCTTTAAAGAGTCCCCTAATGTACTCGGAGATTCAAAGGCTATGGCTAAACGTCGATTTTTATCACTCGAGCGTCGTCTGGAGCGAGATAGTCATCTTAAAAATCTCTACATAAGCTTCATGAGAGAATACATCAACTTAGGGCACATGAGTGAGAATGTAGAGCAGGTAAGCGACTCTTCATCTGAGCCTTCATATTATTTGCCTCATCACGGTGTCTTAAAGGAGTTGCGCTCTACCACAAAATTAAGAGTCGTGTTTGACGCCTCCGCGACAACAACTACAGGTAAATCATTGAACGACATTCAAATGATTGGCCCTACTTTACAAGATGATTTGCTAACAATTCTCCTTCGTTTTCGTCAGCATAAAATTGTAGTCAGCGCGGACATCGAGAAGATGTATCGTCAAACACTTGTAAGTAGTAGCCAGCGTTCTTTACAACAAGTATTTTGGAGAGAGAGTCCTATGCATCCTTTGAAAACATATACTTTAAACACTGTGACGTATGGCACTGCTTCAGCGCCTTTCTTAGCCACTAGATGCTTAATTCAACTCGCTGAAGAAAGTAGAGATCAAGCAATTAAATTTACGATAGCTCATGACTTCTATGTTGATGATTACTTATCTGGTGCTTCGTCTGTTACAGCTACTGTAAATCAATGTCGCCAAGTCATCGCTGTTCTTCAGAAAGCTGGATATAATTTACGGAAATGGCAGTCTAACTCAAACGAAGTATTAGAGTCTCTATGCGGTAATCATGATATATCAGATATTGTAGATCTTAGCAACAATGAGATGTCTAAGACATTAGGTCTCAACTGGCAATGTTCTCGTGACACATTTTCATTTTTTATAAACTTAACTTCCACTGATCACGTCACAAAACGTCAAATATTATCAGTCATTGCACAAATTTTTGACCCAATCGGTCTTGTGGTTCCTTGCATAGTTGAAGCAAAAATACTTATGCAACAACTTTGGCTTGCTAAATGTTCATGGGACGAACCTGTTCCAGCTAACATTCAAAGTATTTGGTGCGACTTTCAAACAAGTTTACCTCTTTTAAATACAATACAATTACCTAGATGGGTACTTTGTGAGTCACCAAAAACTATACAACTCCATGTGTTTTCAGATGCTTCTGAAAAGGCTTATGGTGCATGTGTATATGTTCGCAGCGAGTCATTAGATGGCAGAGTTCACGTGCATCTTCTTACTGCTAAAAGTAAGGTGGCTCCCATCAAGCCAACCACGATACCTCGGCTGGAACTTTGTGCTGCATTATTAGGTTCACGCTTATATACAAAGGTATGTCAATCATTGACTCTACATATCGACGAGTCCATATTTTGGTGTGACTCTACAATCGTCTTGGGTTGGCTATCTACGTCACCAACTCAACTTAAAGCCTTTGTTCGTCATCGCGTTTGCGAAATTCAAGACTCTGTCGGGACATGTTCATGGCGTTACGTTCCGTCTCTTGAGAACCCCGCAGACCTCGCTTCGCGCGGGCTTAGAGCTGACAAGTTGTCATCATCTTCTTTGTGGTGGTCAGGTCCACAGTTTTTACAAAAAGGTCCATCCTCTTGGCCTAATTTTCCTCATCAACTATCTGATAACATACCTGAAACTATAGCTTGTCATCATGTTGAAATCAAACAAGAAAACATGTTATTAAATTTTTATTCTAATTATTCAGATTTTAATAAATTACAAAGAGTCGTTTCTTATATCTTTCGTTTCATAAGCAAATGTAAAAAACAGTCATCTGAATCGGGGTCATTAAAGTCATTTGAATTAAATTTATCTTTAAATCAAATATTAAAGCATAGTCAACAGGAGTCATTTCCCGAAGAATACAAATTGTTAACTTCAGGTAAACCGTTACCGGCAAAAAATAAATTGCTATCCCTATCGCCTTTCTTAGACACCGATACAAAACTAATTCGCATAGGAGGCAGACTTAAAAATTCATTTTACGATTATAACGTTAAACATCCCATCCTTTTATCTAGCTCTCACCACATTTGTAAATTATTATTTGACATGTATCATATTAAACTTATGCATGCTGGACCTCAATTGCTACTTGCCACTATTCGTCATCACTATTGGCCTATTGGGGGACGAAACTTAGCAAAAAGGGTTACGCATCAATGCGTTAGGTGTTGTAGGATTAAAGCTAACACAATTCAACCGATCATGGGTAACCTACCAGAGCAGCGCCTTCATCTAGAGTTTCCTTTCTTAGATACAGGGGTAGATTACGCCGGCCCTATCATGATAGCTGATCGTAAAGGTAGGGGTTGTAGACTCATTAAAAGTTTTATTTGTGTGTTTGTGTGTTTAGCAACAAGAGCAGTCCACCTTGAGCTTGTTTCTGACCTCACGAAAGAAGCTTTCTTAACCGCGATGAACCGTTTTATTGCTCGGAGAGGAAAGCCGCGTAACGTTTTTTCTGACAACGGTACTACCTTCGTAGGTGCCTTCAACGAGCTAGCTAACCTTCTTTCTCAAGATTTGCAACTGAGTTCTATTGATACAGGTATAAACTTTTCTTTTATTCCTGCATATACCCCTCACTTCGGAGGACTTTGGGAGTCTGCAGTCAAGTCCACTAAACATCACCTTAGACGCATTTTAGGCTTGACTAGTCTCACTTTCGAGGAGATGGCCACATGTCTAATTCAGGTAGAGGCCATCCTGAATTCAAGACCCTTAACGCCACTATCCAGTGATCCTTCAGACCTCTCCCCTTTGACTCCTTCACACTTTCTCATTGGGCGATCTTTAATCATGCTGCCATGCGCACCAACCCAAAAATCCAAGATCTCCAACTTACAAAGATATCGTCGCATAGAATACCTTAAACAGCATTTCTGGACACGGTATTCTAACGAATACGTTGTGTGGCTTCAGGAACGAATGAAATGGTGTCGGTCTTCAGGCGAGCTAAAGGAAGGCGATCTGGTTGTCATCAAGGACAAGACATCACCTCCACTGATGTGGCCATTGGGCCGCATTGTAAAGGTCCTCCCTGGAAGAGATGGCATCGGAAGGGTTGCCGACATCCGCACACGTAGAGGCGTCATACGACGAGCCTTTAATAACATCTGCCCTCTTCCAGTCACTGCTGTTGAAGAAACTTCAACCGGGGAGTATGTTGAGTCATCCAGAGAGGGACGGAGCAATCACTGCCCGAGCGAGAGAGGTGGCACCGCGGCGGCCAACGCCCGTGCCATTAGTGAGCTGCGACATCGCTCGACGCGCACACGCGTACCTGTCTTATATGGAACAATATACAACATTTATACAGTCCACCGCCTTTTAATTGTCTCCAACGAGCTACCGATCCCGTCATTGGTCCTTCGAGCCGGATCATTTCGAGCCGAGCCACTTCGAGCCATCATTGATCCTTCGAGCCATCGTTGGTGTTTACGTCATTGGTATTTCGAGCCGGACAACGAGAACAAAGAACATCGGAAATTGGTTTGACACCGTGTACAGAAGATTGATATAGTACAATATTCTACACGCAGCAGTCATCAGAGGATAAAGGAACTTCGAAGGATATATTGCTTTATCCGAATAAATGAAAAGCATATTATTCGGATTACTGTACTTATATTATTATTGTAAAAACTAGATACTCCCGACGTTTCGGTTACTTTTCACCAACCGTGATCACGGACAGACGAGATGTGGTCATGTTGCTGAAAAGTAACCGAAACATCAGGAGCATGCAGTTTTTAAAATAATGAAATACGCGAAGTGATCCGAATAATATAAGTTCCATTTAAATGAATACTCACGAAAGTCTTAGATCTCATTATATTGCTTTCAATTATTTTAAATGTGTTGTTATTTTGAAGTAAGAAATGGTTTTTTACCACAACTTTCATATAAAATAATAAGTTATTTTCAACACTGTTTCTTAACAGTGACCTAGATATAATCTTCTAGATTTTCAGTACAGCTCAGCTATCAAATAACCCGGCTTCAATAAGAAAGACTTCTTTTCGCTAAGCTTTACTAGGAACGTTTTATTTGGTACTTCAATACTGCTCTGTTATCATTCTCATATAATTGTTAAAACAGGAATTTCTTTAAAATTTCATATATTTTATAAAATTGTTTCTTATGCTTTTGTTACTTACAAGAATTTAATTTTCAATATGAAACATATGTTAAAAGAAAATAGTACTCATAATTAATATGTCATCTTCGTGTTGTTTATTAGATTTAAATAACAGTAGTCAAAAACTCCTTAGATTCGGACTAGCAATTCAATCCGAGGGAAGTTTTATAAAATCGAAATTGGAAGACAAATTCGTGTCAATATAAATATTTTAAAAACTCTTCAAAAAGCACATGCTCACAAAACAAGAAATCGTTTTTTTTTATGAAAAGTTTTAGTTCCTATAATCTAACAGCATTACATATGGTAAGGAGAAAGTACTTGTTGAGATAGCCAAGTCCAATATGGTGATGTAGAACTGCTCGTGTCAACTGGAGATAATATATTTATATTCTCAGTAGTTTCTTCAAGTCCTTCATATTTTTTATGTTTCAATGAAAATGTTATTTACTATATTTATTACTCATATTTATTTTATAGGCTAATTCACACTAAGCTCAAAGTTGAAAATCATTTCCACTGCAAATACCCAACTCGGTTCCTTATTTCAAACTAGGAAATCAGTATTAAGGCAATTTTTTTTTTTATCGAAATACGATCTAACGAAAATTTTAATTGCACCGTACTCACAAACTAACACGACGGTCCTTTAATATAGTAACAAATAACAAATTATACATTGATCGAATAATGTTTGAGGTCAAACGGACACAGAGTTCGTTACATTTATTTGAAACTTTAAGAGGTATAAAGAAAAACTCGACATTTGAAACATGATATAACTTACGAATTAGCCTTTATAATTATAAATTTAAAATAAAATTAAGTTATTCTATAAAATTTTTAATAACAGTTATAGAAATCACAAACAACTCTACTAGATACTGAAACTCGTTTATTTAATAAAAAGGATGCTGAAACATACATCATAAATTATGTCACATGTTGTGTCAAAAATATATGCATGTAATGATTGAGACAATTTAACTATATAGCCAATTAAGTCGCAATAGAAAATATATATGTACTTAAAAATATGCTATTAACATAACTCAAGAATATAATGTAAAATGTATTTATATTTATGTAAAAGTCAACAAAATTCATAACATCCGAGCTTAGTATTGATTCATATAAACCATGTTTATACTAATTTTATAACGATATTTATGGTAATATTTATAAATTTCTCATTGTGAAAACATTTATATATTATGTCATATATTTCGTAAAACATATCAAATCTTATTTATTTCATTATTTTTCTATATCATATGACTCTCAATGACTTACATCAGGTATGAAAATTTTTACCGGATTTTATACAAATTCCGTTGTTTTTAGACAGACTTAAGCCTCGCTGACATCCATGACTTTTTAAAATGATATTTCAATTGTTCTGAATGTTCTTGTATTTCTCGAAGGTTCTTCATAATCAAATTCTTCCGCACTCACTGAACTCTGCTTTCGTGCGTCCAAACGTCATATTAATATCAAAACACAACATACTTCTATTCCTGTCTTAAACAGTCTTTGATTTCGTTTTACTTATAGCAATAATCATGTATATACAAATTATATTATTTGTAAAGACGATGAGAACAATATTTTCAAAAACATTTATTACATTACAAGCATAGATAAAACAACATAAATTTAAACATTAAATAAGTGACGATACTGACTATAACTTTGAGGTCTAATTTGAAATTTATTATATACACAAATAAATCTTGTAACCTGTACAATAATTAAATTATTATATTCAATATATAACGTCGTCGCCTTGCTTCAATGAGACATTCTACTTCACAAAGTCAGTCAGACGGGCTCCTTACGCGTTAAGTGATACAGCGGTTTACACTCCCATACGAAGCTTGTGTCTTAAACAAAAATATATATACATTGTAAGTTAAGGGGTGTTTGTGTGATGACTAAAGATAGTGATAAGGAAGATAATATTTTTCTTTAATAAAAATAATTCCTATATGCAAAAGGTGATGTTATTGTATAAAACTATTGCTTATTTGGTTTTTCGGGATTGTCGGTGGTGAATAGATTTTTCCTAAAACTAATCAATTTAAGTTGCATCTATGACAATCGTTATTCTAACATGTACGTGTGTTTCAAATTTCATCTTTAATAACTGCTAATCTAGATTTTTACTAAATATTTGCTTTTTTTCCGTCAGCACTTCTTTAGATATGCAAGTTAAGTCTAAATTTATTTAATTTTAATTTATAAATGGAAATACAAACGGTTATTAAAGTTAAATACTGAATCGCATAGAAACTAATCAAGAAGTAGTGGAATATTATTTCTGTTTGTAAATTCAATAAATTTTATGGGAATCGTTATGTTATATTTATTTGTTATTTTATTTAGATATAAATTCTAAATTAAAATTAAATATATTATTTTTGATAAATAAATATTATACAAAAGTATATGTTATTGAAACATAATATTAAATAAGTTATGTCCCACATTATTTCGTTTGAAACACTTCACAAGTAACACGAACACAATATAATTCGACAGTTCCAGTGACGGGAATGTCAAATGTGTTAACATTTCAGATAACGATCGTTTAACAATTAAACACTGTGGATATATTTTTTTATTACTACATATTTTTTTATACACGAGCAATGTTAAAGTAACTATATATATATTCTTATACACATGTGAATATTTGCGATGATTTTATTTATAACACATGTATATTTTAAGAAAATATCAAATCCATTTTTTTCCAAATTATTGTATCTCTATATTAATGATAATTCATTTTATCATAATCCTAAAAATTAAACAACTATAACAGTTTATGACATACAAAGCCCATACGATTACATGTCACAAGTACTTAGTTTTCCAAACAATTTTTATAACTACTATGTTCAAAACTTATTACAGTCAACGTGACATCTTCTCGACAAAGATCAGATTCAAACTCATTAATTCATTTAAGTATCAAAAAAATCTTCCTTCTCTTTATTGAATTTAAATTTCTTTTCTTAAAAATTTGACAAATTACAAGCTGATTATTATCTAACAAATGATTTATGATGATGATTCACTGAAATAAAAGTTGAATATTTCATGTTCATACATGTCCTAACACGTCGTTCATAGAGAGTCTTATCGTGGATTATACGTTTAATATATCAGGTTCACGCTAAGCAGCTGTTGATGGAAAACAAAATGAGATGATTATATATTACTATCTTCATTTAACTTTATTAAATATAAAACAATTTATTTAAGTAAAACTTATTTTGAATAACTCCGGACAAAATAATGATATAATTAAATTTAGAAAAAAATATATAATTTGTAAGTTTAAAAAATCTTCTGAGTAAAAATATATAAATACGCATTCATACAAACATTATTATTACTAACAAACTTTAAATATGAAAATGGTCTTAATTTATTTTTCATCTATCATTCTGGTACCGAAACGAATATTTAAAAGTAAGATACTACTTGTTGAGTAGGTTAATAGAAAATTAAACACAATATTTAGAAATTGATTCAGATAAAGTAATCCTATTTACTTTTTCAACAAGAATAAACCACTAAGATAAGGAATTTAGTTTGTGAAAGGTTACTGAATCCCTAAATTCGTACATAAACTACTTACACTGTAAGACTATATACGTTTTTCCACAGACTCAAATTTGAGGTGGGCCACATAAGTAGCTTAACTGATCAATGTAGACTATTTTCACCTCTCCAATGTCTACGAGTTTTTACAGTTTACCACCAAAATGTTTTTTCAAGGTGACAGAAAAGCTTTTAGCAGATATAATCGAAAAAAAAAACACACTTGTTCCGTCATTGTGATATAAACTACAACAAAATAAAACTTTGTTATGTAAGGCATTCTCTCAAACAAAGCAAATGCTACTTATAAGTGTCTTAATGACAATGAACTACCAATAAATATCGGTGCAGGCCTTTGATAACAATAACGTGAATTTAAGGAGGGAAGTACAACGCCTTTAAAAACTATTTGTTTTATTATAGTATTCAATTTTGTGAACGGAGTGAAAAGTACTTAAATTTGACTGGAATTTGAACGACGTACTGTGGGACTATCGCGTACGTATGTTTCTTCTCAAAACTCCGTATCTCAGTTATTTTTAAACTGAATGATCTATAACTTCGCACATATATACGTGAAAGTATAAGGCTTAATATAAAATATAATAATTTTGAAACTTATGTTTATTAATTTATTAAAAAATAAATATAAATATATTTAAATATGTTTTGGCACCGTATCAGAAAATTCGCAAGTATGCGCAATTTTTTTTTCTCCTTGTGTAAACTAATGTACAAAGATCGCATTACAATACACATCTCGACAGCGGTAAACAGCGGTAAACGGGTAAATCTCGTTAAAAAAAGTAACCCGAAAATTATACCGTCTTAAACTATATTGGTTAATTTTAATTAATTTATTTATTATACATAATATTATTTAAGAAACGTTATGAAGGGATTATAAGCTTTTAAAAAATGTATAAAACTTATACATTTTTATCAAAAACTTTCTAGTAATATATATTATGGTTTGCAAAAAAAATTAAAAAAATATAGAAAAGAAAGCCTATTTATAAGACTATGTTAATTAATTGTGAAGGGGTTTTGAGACGGCCCTGTTTGGGGCTTTCCCACTGTGAGACGTCTTAAAATAATAAAACAGGTTTGATGTGCATATAATATTATTTTTAAGTATTGGTATCGATCATTACCTAACAATAATATTTCAGAAATTGTCTTTGACAATGCCTGATGTTTTTTTAAGTTATAAAGAGATTCTTTACTAAAAGAAAAAGTAATGTGAGTTGAATCAGTAGTGTTTGAATGTGTTTTGGAAAAACAAGACCATTGCATCCCGCTTAACAAAGCTCAGATCCTCGCATGAGATAGCAGTTACATAATATGTATATACCCAGAGTAATCTGCAAGGCTGAACAAATAAAAATTTATATATAAAGTACATCAAATTTTTAAAAAGCACAGTTGAAACGATATATTTTTGTTTGCATTAATTATTTTTATTCATATATTCATCCATATATATATTTATGTATGAAGTGATGCGTTTACATTTAAAATATGGTCTGAATAAAATATATACTACATAGGAATGTTTGCAAGAGCCTGTAATTATACATGTATCACGAGTAATCCGCAAGGTTGCCCAAATAAAAAACATGCTTATTACAACAGTAAACGTGGTTTTGAAATTATCTAACATGTGGGGTTTCTCAAAAAGGTATGAAATCTCATGGTCTTGACCATACTGCAAGGCCAAAACAACAAAACTTTGTTCATGCAT